CCCCCCCCCGCTCATGGGGGGGTACAGTTGATCATAGTTCCTGGGCTCCCTGTGTTTTAACATGAAAATCCCTTGAATTTGTGTATTATCTCGAATTGAGATTTCGAAAAAATATATACATGAAATTTCCACGACTGAGTCTGTCAACGGTACGGTGTTGTGCAAGCATTGCAAGGTGGGTGGTGAGGTCGAGGTGTACATTGTGTAAGGTACAATCTGATACTTTCACTATCGAATAACCGTCGGTCAGCCATGGCGACACATTTCCAACCAGTAACAATGAATAAGCAAGATAACTTCAACGACAATAAGGCAGCATTTTTGTTTGGTTATTTGAATCCAATAATACAGTTATTTTAACAAGAATTTAGTAAAAAGAGACTGTGTAACTAGGGACGCCGAGCCCAGTGCAGATAGCTGTCGCCATTGTTGACAAATACTGACTCAGTACGGACGATGTTTTCAAACAAGTACAAACCTGATTGTCAGTATTTTTTACCCGTTTCTGGAATCAGAATGTCAGTAATATGCTATACTCCAAATCCAATAAATATCAGATAGATCCACATGTAAGAAGAGATAGAATTACAGTAATTTATCCACAAATCAGATGGTTGTCATTTCCAAACCGCTGGTATTTAAAACCAACGCCATACTCGATGTAAACCCCAACGTTATTGGCTTAGTTCTGAAGGGCGCCCTCGAACTGTTTGAATATATTTATTGTAACATTTCACAATAAAACAACAATTTATTTGTTTAGCTGTCATTCGTAGCAGAAATACTATTAAAATAATCTGACTTTTGATTTCAGGACAAACACCGGTCGGAAGGTTATAAAAATGCCTGTTCAATATAAAACGCTTCAACCAATCAACGTGGATCTTTCTTAAACGTTTCGTAACAAACCGGAAGTTGTGTGCAAAGCATTGTGGGTTATATAGTACCCGAACTTGAAAAAAACATATATTAGTGTATATACGGGGGCAATGGGAATAGCTGGAACAGGTTACAGGAAATAAAAAGGCCATTTTACGTTTTCAAGGAAATAAAATGAATAAAGTAGCTGATTACATTTTACATATTGCCCATATCTACGAAGCCTACTCGTGATTTCAAATACCCAGAATTTATTCATTTTTTAAATAAATTGCCACTTCTGGGCAATATAAGAATTTTGACTTAAAAAAAGTTGGGGGTCACCAGGTTAAGTTTTGAAAAAATCATGGTTTATTTTAGTGAATGGCGTCCATTTTGGTAGTATTATAGTGCTTTTACAGTAGGTTTCTATGGCAGAGATATTATGCCATATCTCAAATTGCAGGCTGGTGACATAGATCGAGACGGAAACAATAAAAATTGCAAATGATGGGGCACTTTTTGTTTTCCTGGGTGTCGAAAAATGCAATTTTTGTTCAACATTGCGCTCTATGAAATTGTTCTAAAAATAGCGATTTTTGAAAAATATTAGGACAAGTTTCCTCAAAATACGTCACTGTAACACACGAAAGAATGCTATTTTATGGTGCCATGGGACAATAGCTCCATGATTTTACATAATAAACCAATGAACACTGTCATGTGATTTATGACCAACTTTCTCAAAAATGATGAGTAGGCTTCTACCATAAATTTCAGTATTACGAAAATAAATACATTTGATTACAGCATACGTAAATACCCCTTGCCGACCCTCTGCATATGGTTGATATAGCTATCCCAAATATTGATTCGCCGTTCCCTGAAATGTTGTACCGTGAAAAGAGCTTGTTTTGTCATGTTTTGAAGGCATGTGAGCCTTCGCAATAGTGACAGCAACATTTTTTGTACGGAACTGAAATGGTTTTAAAACCATTCATTTTTGTTATGTCGTTTGATGTGAGATTTTGTAATTTATTGTAGTTTACAATATCCTGAATTAAAGAATAATAACAATAATTTGTAATTTGTAAAAAAAAAAAGTATAACATCGTTAGATGTAAGGTAATCTTCAAAATGATATATTTTTATTGCAAGTACTAAAGTGACAACGTCTATATTGGCTTTTCTGAGCAATACATCTACTACGTGACCATTCTAGGTTCCTTAATTGAAGGGCGGCGGTCGTCCGCAGCGCGTGTCCAAATTTTATATAAACAATGAATTTAAACCTTTTCACCATCAATTCCCTCTTTTCATCAGAAATTCACAAAATAGTTCCTTTTATATTCTGCATTTTCCTTCAGCCTGAAAATGTTTTTTTTTTAGTTTTAAACTAAAAAAAATTGCTGTCGCCCACAAAATTAGGGTTCCTTTCCAGAAATATTGTGTGTAAGAAAAATATTACAGAAAAATTTGTTTTTTTTCTAATTATTCAAACTACAGCAAAATAATTACGGCACGCTGTAATTTGTGGCTTTACAGTGACAGATGTATACTATATATATATATATATATATATATATATATATTTGTTTAAATCAACATAGTAGACAGTAAATGTGAGTCAACCTCGGACGCATCTCAACTGACATGTCACTTGTTTACATATTTTTTGTTTTAATCATTTAATTTGTCTTAAATTGCACTGAAAAAGGAGTTGTTCCCTCGGTTTGATATCTAAGTATACATAAGCCCGGCCATAAACTGACCAGTTCATTAATTAAGTGAGTTTTTCCACATAATATAGTCAACTAAAAATCTTCTCCAGGGATAATTGCTGGACTCCAACTCCAGCATCATCCTGAAAAAAAAAACTATCTAAGTTTTAATACTAAAGTGAAAGAAAAATACTAGTACAAATTTGCATAGGAAAATTGACAATTATAAATACAGCAACTTTACGTAGTGATAACGTATAAATCATGCGATTTTCAAGGAAATAGACCCTATTGTCTAGAAACATACATATACTCTACCAAAGCCTTTAACAGAAGTGATAAGTGTATGTATAACAATATTGACAATGCATTGCAATCCCAATAAATGCTAACACGTGTGTCAACATGTGTACAGGTACTGCGATCGCGCCCTCAAACCAAATTGTAACTGCCCTTTCGTTTTTTGTTGAATAAAAAAACGAAGATGGCGGCTTCCGCAAGTTTGGTGTCTCGGTTCCGTGCTTGTTTGGCGTCTGCCGTAGCAGGGGATGTTTTAGGAAGTGAATTTGAAGGAATTTCTGCAGTTTCATTGAAAGCAGCAACACAGCATGTTGAGAGGTTTTCTTCGAATACAGGTAAACGCTTTCACGACAGACATCCGTAAAACATTCACGCAATTAACTTAAAGTAAAGTAAATATAGGCACTGTTACTATAGGGTTATACAAAACGAAGACAAATATATATCTAGATAAAATAGACTTGTATTATACAGTCTTCCCTACTTCCTAAGCCTGTGGTGTGTGGTGTCGCCCAAAAAAAGAGAAGGGCAATTTCCTAGATTTGGAACTGCAGTTCTATATAGATTAGTTCTAAGTAGATTATTTTTATTTTATTTTATTTTTTTAGTGTATTAATACTCAATACCTTTACTCTATGTGGGAGTACGTGTTGATAAATAAATAAATAAAATAAAATATATAGCATTTGTTTTTGGTTTGTATTTCTGAATTTGATAAGGTGTGAGATGCTGGTTTTCTTCTATTTATACACACTTAAGTACGTGTAACCGACTGACTGTGTAATTAAATAGCCATCAATTTTATTTGTATATCCCATGTTTTTTCCCTAATCTTGTAATAATAATAATAATAACCTAATAATAATAATGATCATAATAATTAAAGTGTGTTCTCCCTATTCATTATTTTTTTGCATCCTCAAAACAGCCTGGTATTTTCATTGCAAAGTTCCAGGGTTGTTGCAAATGACTAGTGCCTTATAGCATACTACAGTACATTTATAATTAGGAAATAACCTTCTGGTAAAATGGGTTGGAAACAATTGCTGTGATATAATATTAGTATTATTTTCCTGTAATTTTTGCAAATGTAAACAATGAACAAAAAATGAAATAAATCAGAAACACAAAATCAAACTGGAGCAACACATTCTGGACAGTCCAGAGTCCAATAACATGAGGCATAGAAGTAGCATATTACCATTTGTCATTTAGTGTGAGAGTGTAAATTCTAATACATGTTTATTTTTAAGCAGTTTACTCACCGGTGGTATAATTTTTAATCTCTCAGACAAGATAAAAAAAAAAAAGCTTTGAACTTGATTGCAGATATTGTATAAATGTGAAAATGTTGACTTTTATTTGTGATGAATGCAATATATTTCTATTACTGTGGTTTAGATTTGTGATGACTATCATACCCTTTATTTTCCAGATGAACGTCAGCTGGAATTCACAGATGACACAGCCATGGCAAGATCTATCTGTGTGTCATTAATTCATAATAAAGGGTACAATGCAAAACACATGGCACGAAGGTACATACAATACATTGTCATATTAAAGTTTCACTCTCAGATGATTCCTCTAGGTTTATTGGCATCTTTATATTATTGAAATGAATTTAGGGGCTGTATTTATGGGCATTACAGCAAATATTTAATTAATATACGTCTTATTTTTTGCTGCATTCTTTTCATTTGCTTTTGAACAGTTTTCCAGTCTACATGGGCTCATAAAGATTTGCCAGCGACGAATCTACGGAATACTCAAAATCAGACAATCAAATATTTCACACATAATAATGCCAAGACCTCAATAAAGCGTTAGGGAGGATTTCAGAGTGAAACTTGAACCCCATTATTTCCAAGTGCCTGGAAACTGATTTCCAAATATGCTCAAAATAATTCCATCTAAACTTATTTACTGAAATCTGAATTGTGAAAATAAAAATAATGTATAAGGTTGGATGGAATCTATCAATCATGTTAAAACTACTTGCATTTGGATTTGACCAATTTGATGATAAAATGGCCACCTGTCGTCCATCTTAGATTAGATCTCAAACTAAATGAGATGTTAGGGGTATTCCACAGTGCAATGTCTGTATGTCAAAGACTTCTGTATTCATTTCATCACAAGAATCAGACTGGCATTGACTGATACCATACATCAAATAAACATTCCTATTTTATTTTTGAGAAATAGTTGTTGACAGATTAAATTATCAGAACTTCACAAATCTGAAAGTTGCTTCACATAGAATATTTTGTCATATAGTCCATCTTCAGTGGCAGATCAAAGAATCTTGTGTGCAATTCAGTGACTTGGTGATACCCTGAAATGCTAAAAAATCAATTACAACCAAATCCACAAATGTGTTCACTTATTGGCTACTGATGCAAACATCTTATGAATACCATGGATGTACATATATAAATTGACATATTGAAGGCTTCAAACACAATTTTGATACAACTTCAATACAACTTTAGTATTCATATGTCACAATGTTTCATCTTTGTACCAAGTTAAGTATTGTCTCTTTGACTTGACTCTTTATTTGTAGGTTTGCAGAGGAGTACAAGAGACAACCTCACCGGGGATATGGAGGAAATGTTATATCTGTATTTGAACAACTCTTAGATGAATCCTTGCTGGATGTATATGAACCATCTCGTAAACAGTTTGATGGAAGCGGTTCCTATGGTAACGGTGGTGCAATGAGAATAGCTCCTGTTGCGTTGTTTGCCTATAATGATTTGAATGCAATGAAGAAGGTAATACAACAGAGGCATTATCGTCATCTTTATAAGTATCTCTTAATTAATTATACAATTTAAACTGAAACGAGAAGTTTCAAGATCATGTATAGTACTCCCTTGGTTTGGCGCCCTAAGCTATTGATGTGTGAATACAGTATGCTCATCAAAGTATGCATGATGTAACTTGTGTACAGTATGGAATCCATATTTTTATGGAAAGATGTACACATACATTGCAATCCTGATTCAACTCAAGATGGCTGATTGGAAGCCATTCTGTCTTACTGCTGCAGAGCCATATCTCTGACAATCTGACACTGTTCATACATACTACATTATGAGAAAAGATTCCATAGTACACATGTAAATTTAAATTGTTCTGAAAAGTAGCATTACAGTATAACATCAACAAACTTGGCATTAAATTGTCTCTATCCATCATATTTTGTGAGCTTGCCAACTTAGTCCATCATGTCTTGTGAGCTTGCCAACTTACATGTAGTCCATCATGTCTTGTGAGCTTGCCAACTTAGTCCATCATGACTTGTGAGCTTGCGAACTTGGTTCATCATGTCTTGTGAGCTTGCCGGCTTAGTCCATCATGTTTTGTGAGCTTGCCAACTTAGTCCATCATGTCTTGTGAGCTTGCGAACTTGGTTCATCATGTCTTGTGAGCTTGCGAACTTAGTCCATCATGTCTTGTGAGCTTGCCAACTTAGTCCATCATGTCTTGTGAGCTTGCGAACTTAGTCCATCATGTCTTGTGAGCTTGCGAACTTGGTTCATCATGTCTTGTGAGCTTGCGAACTTGGTTCATCATGTCTTGTGAGCTTGCGAACTTGGTTCATCATGTCTTGTGGGCTTGCGAACTTGGTTCATCATGTCTTGTGAGCTTGCCAACTTAGTCCATCATATCTTGTGAGCTTGCCAACTTGGTTCATCATGTCTTGTGAGCTTGCGAACTTGGTCCATCATGTTTTGTGAGCTTGCCAGCTTAGTCCATTATGTTTTGTGAGCTTGCCGGCTTAGTCCATCATGCCTTGTGAGCTTGCCAACTCACATCTGGTATTCAGGACTGGTCACTCATAAAATCCGTTACTGATACATGTTTTCTTCACAGATAGCCAAGGAGAGTACACTATTAACACACTCCAACTATTTAGGCTACAATGGAGCATTACTCCAGTGTGCTGCAGTCTACTACATATTACATAGTTCACAACCCTTTGATGTAGATAACTACTTAGATCAGTTACATCAGTTTATGCATGACTTAGAAGAGGAGACCAAACCAGAGTAAGCTGTTATTTTGTTGTACTTCCTAACAGCCACCACCTTACCACACACATATCACACATCATTATTTTGCGTAAAGAGGAAGCTGTCAATCCGGGGAATGCATCATATTATCATATCCTACTGATGTAAAACCTAACTCATCGCATTTATTTTGTGTGCATTTAAGTTCACAAAATCTATGATTGAACAGAGTTATTTAAGATAATTGTCTTTTACATGCAAGCTAAATTTCTAGTTGTACCATAGACCCATGGCCATAGTACTGAATAAATCATTTATTGTCAATTTCATTTTTATAAATGAGGTTACATATCTGTAAAAATCACTTACACTTGTTTGTAAATTTGGTGTTGTACATGAATGCAGAGTTTAACCGTTTCACCACCAGTTCCTTCTTTTCATCACAAATTAACAAAATAGTCCTGTTTATAGTCTGCACTTGCCTTCAGAAGATTGGGACAAAATAAGCCAAATTTTTTGAGTAAAAACTGAAAATTGACTCAAATATTGTCTGTTGGCTCCAAATTTAGGGTTCATTCCCAGAAATATTGAAAAATATAGGAAAAAAAGTGCTGACAAATTTGGGCGAAAAAGTCTGGTGGTGAAATGGTTAAATGACAGTTAATGTTGTCAACATGTATGTGTGAATGAAAAAATTAATCTAATATTTTTGAATATTATTCAGGTAAAATATGTTGAAATATGACTAATAAATTATGTCCAATGCATGGACAGATAGTGTGATGATGATCATCTTAGATATGTGTAAGGCACCTCACAACCATCTGTTATGTTCACCACACTACTGTACTTCAGATGGATAAAATATGCTATACATTGTTGTGGGAGATGCATTGTCTAATTATTCTATTAATTTTGCTTACATAATTTATTACAGAACTTCGTACTGTGTGAAAATAAAGAAAATAAAAGATATGCTTCAAGACAGTACTCTATCTAATGCAAAGGTTGTAGAAACACTAGGTAGGTTTTTATTTTCAACATTGCTTGTTTCACACCCTCATTTTTTATTACGTATGAACAAATTTGACTTTTTCATTTTTTATGATCGATATCTCATCTCCTGAGAACGCTGAAGCGTCAAACAACTTAAAATAAAATTATTACAACATTATTATATCCAACACAGATTACCATGTTATAGTTTGGGAAAAATATCTCTCAAGAATTCTTTTAGAATCTATTGTTTTTATGGTTTGGTTTACACAATGTCATTCATTTCAATAAAAAATATCCTGTAGGAAATCTCCACAAGGAATCTTAAAAATGTTTTGTAGCAATGGTATGAAGCATATCTTCTGAACTCTGTATGACATTTGTCATTTGTTGTTGAATTATGTTATTCCAACTTAGTGATAACTTCTTGACTTACATGGCTGACTAAGGTTATTTCAGTGGTGAAAATGAAGACCTTTTCAGTGGTGAATAGGGATTGGATAAGTACACTAACAGAACATTATGACACCTTGACGCATGTTTGTTTTATGTATTTGATTAAAAATGTCTGATGAATGGCCATATCCGACACTGATTCTGCTCATACATATTACATCATGAGAAAGATACACATACAATGCTATCCTTATTCAATTCTAGATGGCTGATTGGTGGCCATTCTGCTTACCGTTGCAGAGCCATATCTCTGACATCCCTACACTGATTCTGCTCATACTGTGTACATACATATTACATCATGAGAAAGATGTACACATACAATGCTATCCTTATTCAATTCAAGATGGCTGATTGGTGGCCATTCTGCTTACTGTTGCAGAGCCATATCTCTGACATCTCTACACTGATTCTGCTCATACTGTGTACATACATATTACATCATGAGAAAGATGTACACATACAATGCTATCCTTATTCAATTCAAGATGGCTGATTGGTGGCCATACTGCTTACTGTTGTAGAGCCTAAACTCTGACATGACTACACTATTTCCATTCATACTTTGTACACACAATGTATTTTTTTTTAACTGATAGTTTGAAATGATTAATAACTGACTGACTGATTGTGAATGTCAATGTTGAGAGTTGTTAAAATTCCTTTTTTTCATGCTGCAGGTTTGAGTCTACAAAAAAAGAAAGATTACAGTACATGGCATGTGGTGGCGCTCTTCATACACTGTCAAAAAGTGCCATAAACTACAGCCCAACTTTTTTTGTAATGAACCATGTCAAACTGGAAATGTTAGAAATATTGATATAACAATTCCATCAATGTTCAGATAGGCATCCAAGCACATCTGAATGCAGTTGACTTAAATCTTCTGGATTGTGATATTGTTTGTGTGCTGTTTTTTGTGGGTGAATTGTGGAAGTTTTATTTACTCCAAGTTGTTTTCAATCCATGATTAGTTGCTCTTTGAGCCAGTTTCATGAGCTTTTCACACTTAGCATGTTGCAATTCCAAACCTCCAGTTTTGCTTGAAACTTTTCCTGTTTCGTTTTGAATATGTATGTGTGCGAAACACTACAATAATATTGACCAACACACCCTCTGTATGTGCCAATCTTGTCAACAGCATTCTAATTTATCTTTTAGTACTACACTGTCATCAAAATCAAAAATATTCCCAATTGACTTTTTTTTTAACTTTTCTCTGTATATTTGTATGGCATATTTGTAATTTGTGTTTAATATTTGCTAAAAAAAGTAATCACAATGAATACCATCCATCCTAGTAGGTTGTTGTGATGATACTAGGAGTTGAAAGGATTACTGTATCAGTAAGGGTGAGAAAAAAAAGATTAAACAAAATCCCTTAATACTATTATTATTATTATTGTTACTGGTATAAAAGAATATGTGACAGCAGTAGCAGGTATTCATTCTGTGGTTTGTGGCATTATTTAGTGTTGTATATCTACCTGATATGTAATACCAGCTTAGTAATGTACTCTGTTAGTTTGTGATGAATGAGTTGTATTGCATAAGTCTATTTCTGTACATATCCCATCATGCCATGCCCTCATTCAAATTGCCACCAATTTAACACACACAACAGTATACATGTGCACGTCATTATGTAAAATTGTTATTTGATCCAATGTGGCCTTATTTGTGATGAAAACCATTATGGCAATTTGCCAGTCATGCCTGATTTAATTGCATTTCTATTTGACTAAAGACCATACTGGTGCACATTGAGAAAGGTCTGTTTGTTGTGTGCTAATGTGTCTGCATTTTCTCATTCCTAGGAATGCCATGATCATCAATTTTCATTGTGTGCCTGTCATTATGTGGGGTGGGGTGGGGTGTTATTTGTGACGTCAGGTTACGCAGTAAAATCCTATAATGCTACTATTTGTAACTGCCCTTTGTTGCAATCATTGTGATTGGATGTGGTTTTAACTCTAACACTTTGAGCACCATATTTTTTTCTGACAGAAACATTTTTTCTATATTATTTTCAAATCATTTCTTAAATTGTACATCCCATATGTATACATTACTACTACATATGTGCTGTATTCACTATACTTTGCATAATTCTGTATACATCACTAATAGGTATGCTGGTTTCATTATTACTGTTATAAATTACAACCGTCAGAATTAAACAAATTTAGTCCAATTTGCGAGCTTTTCGTGAAATGCTCGAATTTACTTGCAAGTTATCGTGTGCTAATGTAAGACTGTGACCCTGAGCTGTGACATCATAAAAATTAGTGGTGATTTATGTTGATGTTTATAGGATGTATAATGAATACATATATCCATTAGTGATGTATACATATGGAATATATAATGAATACAGCATATATCCATTAGTGATGTATACATATGAGATATATAATGAATACAGCATATATCCATTAGTATGTATACATATGGGATGTATAATGAATACAGCATATATCCATTAGTCATGTATACATATGGGATGTATAATGAATACAGCATATATCCATTAGTGATGTATACATATGGGATGTATAATGAATACAGCATATATCCATTAGTCATGTATACATATGGGATGTATAATGAATACAGCATATATCCATTAGTCATGTATACATATGGGATGTAGACTAAATACAACATAGTTGTTTTATGTCATTTTCATTAATAGTGTTCCCATTTTATTTCAGGTCATGGTATAGCAGCCTATGAATCAGTACCAACAGCTATTCATGCATTTATTCATTGCTTGGAACCAGTTAAAGATAGGAATAGTAATGGAATATTACGAACTATAATTTATGCTATTACTTTAGGTGGAGACACAGATACTATAGCCACCATGGCAGCCGCCATTGCTGGTGCATATTATGGGATGGAGCAAGTTCCAGATGCTTGGAGCAAAAGTTGTGAAGGCGTTGATGATGCTATAGAATATGCTGATCAGTTATACAAATTATGTAATAATAACTAAATTTCTCAGTCACAGTTTCTAAAAAAATTTTTATTTGAGTCACAGCTGTTTTTATTATTTAAAAAGTGGGCAGGACACACACGATAGACTAAAAACAGCAAAATGCTAGATAAAAGGGACTAGTAGTAGTCAACACTACTAGTAAAATAAAACCAAAATAAAACAGGACTTGGCTTAAAAAATTTTTTATTATTGTCAAACCTCCCTATAGGCTGAATAGGAATATAATAAAAAAAAATATCAGTAACATGAGATATTGAGTGCAAGGTATGTATGAAGACAGTACAGCAAGAGTATTTACCGGCAACTTGCCGGGCGTGACCGTGTACTATCTTCAGGCATACTTTGTGGTATCCTCTTAATAACCTTATTATACATATTTGCGAACCAACCACTTGATATAGGAAGCCCATAACTGAGCAAAATAATGAAAATAATTATTATGAAACTTTCTTGCTATGATTTTCATTGTCGAGACCTCAGACATCTTAGAAATACTGCGTAATTGTTCATATTTGGAATGCACATTTCCTAATATGGTATGTTGCAGGTATCCTGTGCAATACTACAAAATAACAGCATGCTGTGACTTATGGCGCTATGGTATCAGGTTTATAATAATCATAATAATTATGTATCACATTACACTAAAAGAATATTTATTGCCTTACTATGAAGGGGGGGGGTTACTGATTCCTAAAACAGTGTCCTGTTTTAGGGATGAGTTTCACACGATGGATGACTGCTCAGATAACAACAATTTATATAATACAAGTTGTTTCAACTATTGATTACTAGTACGGTAAAATCTGTATTAGAAGCCGCATCTCTAATATATAAGTCGCATCCATTCTTTTTGAATAATTGAGAACCAAAAATTCACCATTTCTCATATGTGTAGTTGCTCTAATAGAAGCCACATTCCCTCTGTTGCATTGTACCATTTTAATAGAAGCCGTGGTTTCTAATACAGATTTTACAGTACATACTATTCCGATTTTAAACATAAACAACCTATATAAAAGTGTTTGGCCTACTCCAGTACTCTGTGAAACCCCTGTAACTATGTGAATGACAATGACTTGTTAATAATTTTCTGAAACTCTGGACATTCCGGTTTTATACTCATTTGATTTTTAAATAATTTTACTTTGGGAAAGCTTACAAAAGTTTCACTATGTTTTGTTTTGTAATCTATGTTGTGAGTGGGGGAAAAAGTTGGTTGGAATGTCATGTTTGTTAGAATGACATTTTTACTGTAAATTAAAACTACGGTACATTTTAGTTAAAAATTGCCTAAAAAATCAAATTACAAATAATGCAAAATTTGTGGATTTAATTTAACCTGTAATTTTACCAAGATGTGTGACCTTAGGTCATTCATGTACCAGAATATGTGACCTTAGGTCATTCACGTACCGGTATATGTGACCTTAGGTTGTTCATGTGCCAGGGTGTGTGACCTTAGGTCATTCACGTACCAGTATAAGTGACCTTAGGTCGTTCATGTGCCAGGGTGTGTGACCTTAGGTCATGTAATTGATAAATTTGTATTTGCTTATATTTTTTTAAACTAGACACTAGATATGCGGCAAAAAATTGCACAGAACTGATGTAATAAATATTTGCAAATTAAATACAATTCGATCAAACTCTGGTTGAATAATTCCCTGGTCCTAAAATTTAGTTTTAAATTTCATCTATAGCTTTGTTTGAAAACTGTGTGTAATTATGTTTGATTTATGCGGTGTGTATAAAAAGATTGTTTATGTATCAAATATAGTAATAGAGATTTGATTTTTTTTTATAACCGAATTTCCACTTGACAAAATTCACACTGAATGGATTCTTTTATGACCCTTATTAAATTCCAAATGGCACCTTTTGTGAGGTAATCATATTACGTATCAGTACTAAACTCCTTCTTGTCACTCTTGCAATTTTTAATCCAATTTGGGTTCTTGGAAAATGATTGAATCTCGTATTACACTTCACTTTGCCTGTAAACATAAACACTAAGAAAACATTAATAGAAGGGCCAGACATCCTGTGCAAAGTCTCATACAATGATGTGTCTGATTATGCAAGCATGTATCAATATCCTGTGCAAAGTCTTGTACATTAATGGGTCTGATTATGCAAGCATGTATCAATGTTCTGTGCAAAGTCTTGTACGTTTAATGGGTCTGATTATGCAAGCATGTATCAATGTCGTTTGCAAAGTCTTGTACATTAATGGGTCTGATTATGCAAGCATGTATCAAT